ATTAAAATACTAAAAACAAACTGACATGTTACATTTGACTAAAATGGTGCTAAATTTCCAGTTAAGGATGAAATGCTATCCTTAACGCCCATAACTGTACAGCACTTAGGAACTAGAAAACATGTCATGGAAATGTATTATGGTGCCTTGAGGGTGACTCTGTTTGTATTACATGCTGTCTCACGAGGAATTATGGCTCCAAGCTATGGCTTACAAAGCAACACTGAACAGCTTTCCCCTGGACAGCCTGACCTTTTCATTACTGGTATAATTGATTGTGTTATTAGTATCATTTGTACAAATAATGGTGATTTACTGGTGCATTTTGGAACTTAAATCCTTACTAAGTCCAGAGTAGTCCCTTAGGCCCTGCAGTTGAGGAACTACGGGAGTGTGGGAAGAGAAATGCTTCCATCCAACTCATGCAGATTTTTTTAACACATGAAGTAGGAGGATGCTGAAAAGAGTTTGTGTTTGGTTTGGCTGTGCTTGCACCTCAACTCTGCAGAGTTCACCATCTGTCGGCTGAAAGTTTGTTTTGTTCTAATGGGAGGTAGTTTATTTGGCACTTTTAAAATATGTACAGCAGGGACCACTCCTGCACTGGTCTGGAAGGGAAATGGACTGGATGACTTAATAGTATTAGTAATACTATAATTTACCAGGTGCCTCACCAAAGGCTCTTAAGTAAAGTAAGTTGTCATGGGCTAAGAGGAAGGTCTTCTCATGGATTGCTAACTGATTAAAAGACAGGAAATAAAGGGTAGAAATAAATGGCCAGTTTTCAGAATGGAGAGAGGTAACGAGAGGGGTCCCCCAAGGGTCCGTACTGGGACCAATCCAATTTAACCTATTTATAAATGATCTGGAGAAAGGGGTAAACATTGAGGCTGTGTCTACATTGGCAGCCTTTTCCGGAAAAGGGATGCTAATGAGACCAGTCAGAATTGCAAATGCCGCGGGGGATTTAAATATCCCCCGCAGCATTTGCATGAACATGGCTGCCGCTTTTTTCCAGCTCGGGGTTTTGCCGGAGAAAAGTGCCAGTCTAGACGGGATATTGCGGAAAATAAGCCCTTTTCTGGAAGATCCCTTATTCCTACTAGAAGATCCCTTATTCCCTACTGGAATAAGGGATCTTCTGGAAAAGGGTTTATTTTCCGCAAGATCCCATCTAGACTGGCGCTTTTCTCCAGCAAAACCCCGAGCCGGAAAAAAGCGGCAGCCATGTTCATGCAAATACTGCGGGGATATTTAAATCCCCCGCAGCATTTGCAATTCCAACTGGTCTCATTAGCATCCCTTTTCCAGAAAAGGGTGGCAATGTAGACACAGCCTGAGGCAGCAAAATTTGCAGATGATACTTAACTGCTCAAGATACTTAAGAACAAAGTAGACTGCAAAGAGCTACGAAAGGATCTCACCAAATTAAGTGATTGGTCAACAACATGGCAAATGAAATTTATTCAAGTTGATAAATGTAAAGTAATGCATGTTGGAAAAATAATCCCAACTATACATACAACATGAGGGGAACAAATTTAGCTATTACCACTCAAGTGAGAGATCTTCAAGTCATTGTGGATAGTTCTTTGAAAACATCCACTCAATGTGCAGCAACAGTGAAAAATGTTAGGAATCATTAAAAAAGGGATAGAGAATAAAACAGAGGATATCTTATTGCCTATTTATAAAGCCATGGTATGCCACATCTTGAATACTGTATACAGATGTGGTCACCTCATCTCAAAAAAGATATATTGGCATTGGAAAAGTTTCAGAAAAGGGCAACAAAAATGATTAGGGGTTTGGGATGGGTGCCATATCAAGAGATATTAAAAAGACAGGGACTTTGCAGCTTAGAAAAGAGGAGACTAATGGGGCATATGATAGAGGTCTATAAAACCATGACAGGTATGGAGAAAGCGAATGAGGAAAAGTTATTTACTTGTTCCCATAACAGAAGAGTAGGGGGTCACCAAATGAAATTAGTAGGTAGCAGGTTTAAAACAAACAAAACAAGGTGCACAATCAACCTGTGGATCCTTGCAAGAGGATGTTGTGAACATCAGGACTTGAACAGGGTTCAAAAAAGAACTGGATAAATTTGTGGAGGTTAGGTCCATCAATATTTTTTAGCCAGAAAGGATGGGAATGGTATCCCCAGCCTCTGTTTTTCAGGGGCTGGAAATAGATGACTAAGGGTGATCATTTGATGATTTCTTGTTTCTGATCACTCTGGGTATGTCTAGACTGCATCCCTCTCTTGCAAGAGGGATGTAAATTAGACATACCGACATTGCAAATGAAGCAGGGATTTAAATATCCCGTGCTTAATTTGAATAAAATGGCCACTTTGTTTTGACGACTCAGTACTTTGTCGGCAGAAAGCGGCTGTCAAGACGGAGATCGGGCAACAAAGAAAGCCTTTGTCGACCGATCCTGTAAACCTCCTTGCAGGAGGCATAAGGGATCTGTTGAATAAAAGCTTACTTTCTAGACAGACCCCCCTCTAGACTGCCGCTTTTTGCCGACAAAGTGCTGAGTTGGCGAAACGTGACGGACATTTGTATGCAAATTAGGCACAGGATATTTAAATCCCTGCCTCATTTGCAAGGTTGACCTGCCTAATCTACATCCCTATCTGCAGTCTAGATATACCCTCTCTGAGGGTATGTCTACACTACCCAGCTAGTTCGAACTAGCGGGATAATGTAGGCATACCGCAATTGCAAATGAAGCCCGGGATTTGAATTTCCCGGGCTTCATTTGCATAAGATGGGCGCCGCCATTTTTAAATCCCGGCTGGTTCGAACCCCGTGCCGCGCGGCTACACGCGGCACGAACTAGGTAGTGTAGATGGAATGAGGAGTAACGGTAGTTCGAACTAGGAAGCCTAGTTTGAACTACCTAGTTCGTGCCGCGTGTAGCCGCGCGGCACGGGGTTCGAACCAGCCGGGATTTAAAAATGGCGGCGCCCCTCTTATGCAAAAGAAGCCCGGGAAATTCA